CATATTTCATTGTTTGTTTTACCTCATCTCTTCATTTTTTTCATATTCAGCTGTTTAATAAACAGGATGAAGTCAGAATAGAGAAGAAGAATTTAATATGACTCAAACTCATTACTGATGAGCATCTTCCTCTTTAGTGTGTTGAACTATTCTTCCTGGTTCCTTCTCATGATAGGTCACAGGATACAAATTAGAGTCTGAGTGGAAGCTTGTCGTTTCATCCAATTCCACATAGTTTGCTTAAATGACCAAACAAAGAAACTCATCAGCACAAATAATAAAATATATCAAAGAAAAATACCTGATCACATTATCTTAAAATAACTTCTTGTAAAATGAATGTTTTTAAATATTGCAATATTTATTTTTTAGAGTGTTTATATTGAGTTCTTTAGTACAAATGGATGACAGCCTGTATGCACAAGTCATTTTAGTGTGAATTAATGAAAGCCTACCTTGATTGTTTTAGTTTGAATTAATGAAGGTCCCCATCTAAACATAGAATAGTCAAAGAAATCTTGTACACATTCTGCACAAGTGTGTGATATTCTTAAGTGCAAGGTAAAACTATTTGAGGTCAGCCAGTGATCCTTTGTGGCACAACCAGTCATGCCCTTTCCCTCTAAAAATGATCTTTAATAGTTACAACATAAAGAGCATGACACAAGCAGGAACCAGAAACAGCGAAGGAAGGCCAATCTGGCTAAAAGCCAGAGTAAATGACAGACCTCTATGGACAGGCAAGTATATCAACTCAAATTTTACAGATTAAATTTTCCTCCCCACCTCCTGTTTGCAACTTTAAAACAGGCAATTTTATATGAGTGATATGCTTTTGTTTAAAGAGGAAGGAATCCTACAATCAGAAATAGGATGGTTTCTTTTTTTATTTCTTTATCTAACTGACTTTAAATGTCTCAATAAAAGAAATCTTAATAAGAAGAATTATAATGATAAAACCGAAAAATACCTGAAGTGATGTGCTTTTAACACATCTAGCCAGTAGAACGTGTGTGAAAAACTGCTCAATAGAGCTATAATATTCTATAAATCTAAAAAAGATTAAGCAACTCATCTTGAGGAGTTGTGTACCAAAATGCTCATCAGGGCCAGATGTTTGATCAAACTACTGAACTTATTATCAGATCTCATCAAATCAATACTAAGTCTAACTTTAAAATTTCAAATTTTTATTGAAATACTATTTAAATCAACAACTGTTAATATATGAAGTTGACAGAATGTAACATCATATTTTGGGCCCTGAAACAAAAACCTATTCCAATGGAGAGAAAATTAATGTTCTCACTCACAAACAATCATTATTATTATTAGAAATGGAAAAAGCTGAATATAAAATTAATTCATTTATTTCTTACCGAAAGAATCCAATATTTTGGACTGAAGAATTTTGATCATGTTGAAGAATCCGAATCTGGACATTGTTAAAGCCATCAATCAAAGACCCTCATAATATATATCCATAAGATAGTTCCCAAGATAAATATGATATTCATGCTTGACAACCTGGGCCTTAAATCATATATCAAAATTTTGAGACATCTTCTTACAGAGTTTAAGAAGAGCTGGAAAATGCAAATGCAAGAAAGTACTCTGGTATCTGAAAAATCCTGGGTTCACTCTTAAAATATTCTCTGATGAAAAAAATCTTTATAATGGTTACTGTGTGGAATTACCAAAATAGCTGGTACCACACAGAATCAACAGTTGCCATAGCACCTTCAGGACTAAAAATTCAGCCGAGGTTATGGTCTTTGGGTATCATAGTTTCCAACAGGAGAAATGATGCCCTTATTTTTCTGCAAGCTTGGAGAAATGGTAGGTGCTGTTATAGACAAGCGTATGGTTGCAAGAAAGAAATATGACAACAGCAGAAATAGATTTACGTGATTTATTTCAATAGGAACGTGTGGATTTGGGACAGCTACCTCATGGTATAGTTCATAGGTTGGCTGAAGATCTGGGTTGATCTCTCATAGTAGTCCTTGCTGGTTGGCGTTGTGCTACTGCTGCTGGCTGCTGCTGACTGCTCAGCCTGACCGTGACAGGTCTCTTCCCTGGCCTCCTGTTGACTGCCGTTGTACTTCCATGTGACCCCTTTTATGGCATTTTTTTATTTTATTTTTTTATACCTGTTTGTGTATTTTGGGATGGTTTTAACATGTTTTAGATAAAACAGATATAAATTGACTATAAGCCAAATAGGCCTGTCAGAAATTAGCCTGAAGTGTGACATGTGGTGCCTGTATATATTAGTGGGCTGTTGGGCAGTTTTCTGAAGTTCTCCTTACTGAAAGAAATATGAATAAAATAGATCAAGAAGAGAAAGAAGGAAAGATAGAAAGAAAGAAAGAAAGTGAACAAAAGAAGAAATGTGGGGAAAGGATTGAGTAATAAAAGATAGAAATTCTCCAATATCTGTGTTAACATGCTCAATTATCCATAGTAAGAGAATTTTTTGAAGGTTGCAGCAATTTTGCAAGTTTTACTTCCCTACTTTGTAATGTTGACAATCATAGTCACACATATATCCTTATTTGTACACATTTATAAGATGTGCTGCTGAATGACAGAATAGTTCTTGTTGATGAGGTATATGCAATTGTAAATATTCTCTCAGACATTTTCCTAAAAAATAAGAATGCAAAATTAATAAATCTGTCTGCAAATTTGTATATATATATTTTTTTTCTTTCTGGTGAGTAGACAGAAATCCTAAAGAAAGAACAAGAATGAAAGGATTTTTTATATTTATACAAAACTTCAGGAAAAAAAAAAAAAAAACATATTTCCATTGCCATTTTGTAAATGTACAGACATTCAAAGTCAAAAAAGAGAAAGTAAAATTATATACAGTGTAACCCGGATATAAGAGAGATTTTCTCTGGTCCCAAATTAGAGCCTGTGTTAATGTATATAAAATAGACCAAACCCGGATATAAGAGACTTCTTCTCCGGTCCCGACAACTCTCTTATATCCGGGTCACACTGTAACAGCAAAGCAAGTTTATCCAATATGGTTCAGTTCAAAGTAGGTTTATTATTATTCTATTTATAAAACTATAAATTAAAATAACTGGTGGAAATGCAAAAGGTGCTGAGAGATCTTTTATAAAGGCTATTTAAAAAAAAATGTCTGAATTATCAATGAACTTTAGGCTAATAAGCATGTCAGATATGTTTTTTTTTACAATTCAATCAAGTATGCAAAATTTGACATGAAATTTGAAGAGTAAAAAAGGCAAATTCATATGGGATAAAATTTCACAAAAACAAACCAAATAGTTTCAGGTTAATATGTGTTTCTTCAAAAAGAAATGAATAGTCATTTGGTAAGCATATAAATCTTTACCATATTAAATGTCAGATTTTAACAAGGAAACATAAAATTTCATATATATTTTTAAAAAGATTCTTTTCATCAAAATATACATTTGATTAAATATACAAGTGAGTTTTGGTGAATGGACGACAGAGCAGAGACAAAGGAAGATGGTAACAAGTGAAATGAGAGAAAACTAAGGACAGAAAGTTGGTGAGAGCTATGATTCTCCACGTCCTGAAGAAAAATGACACATGAAAGAAGAAGAAAAATACCATTTTTCAAGTAACGATACATTTTAGAAATGAAGTATTTTTGCTTTGAGCAATTAGTGCTGAACAAACCTCAAGACGACATGATTTTTGATTTTCTGTCTATTTATCCAATTCTTCATACTTGAAAATTGTGATAATTGGTATGAGACAATCCTTGTGTAGTAAGTGTTAGTAATAAAATGTGTGAGACAAACACAGACACACATAAACACCTCCAGATTTCTCAGCTATCACACTACTCTGATTATTCTTTAAAAATCTTCTCTTGATTCAAACAAGCTCATCACATACCAAAGACTGTGGAAAGCTCTTTAAATTCTGATACTGTCTATGCATTCAATAGCAGTTATAGTGTAATAAACTCAAAGATATTACTTCTTGTCCATAGGTGATCAAATATACAAATGTTATATGAAGTTTGTTGCATCATACTGAAAGTAAAAAAAAAAAGAAACATTTGCAAAGATCTGTTCCAAACGAATGAGATATTCATTTTTTTTATTTCAGATTTGTTTTATTTTAGAATTAAATAAATAAAAGAAAAATATTGAAAGAAGGGGAAGAAAGAATACTGAAAGAGGAGGGGAAAGAAGAATACTGAGAGAGGAGGGGAAAGAAGAATACTGAAAGAGGAGGGGAAAGAAGAATACTGAAAGAGAGAGAAAAAGAAGATAAAAAATAAAAGTAGAGAAGAGGTATAGAGGAGAAAGGGAAAGAAAAAAAGGAAAAAATTAATATAGAAAAACAAAAAAATAAAGAAATTAAAGCAATAATGAAAAAAGAAGGAAAATGGAAGATAAAAGAATGACAAAAAGAATGAAAGGAAGACAAATAATAGAATGAAAGAGATATATAGAGGGAAGGTATGCAAGACAGAGAGAGAAGATGGGAGGTATGCAGACAGAGAGAGAGAGAGAAGAGGGAAGGTATGCAGACAGAGAGAGAGAAGAGGGAAGGTATGCAGACAGAGAGAGAAGAGGGAAGGTATGCAGACAGAGAGAGAGAGAGAGAAGAGGAAAGGTATGCAGACAGAGAGAGAGAGAGAGAAGAGGAAAGGTATGCAGAGAGAGAGGGAGAGAGAGAGAGAAGAGGGAAGGTATGCAGACAGAGAGAGAGAGAGAAGAGGGAAGGTATGCAGACAGAGAGAGAAGAGGGAAGGTATGCAGACAGAGAGAGAGAGAAGAGGGAAGGTATGCAGACAGAGAGAGAGAGAAGAGGGATTATATGCAGACAGAGAGAGAGAGAAGAGGGATTATATGCAGACAGAGAGAGAGAGAAGAGGGATTATATGCAGACAGAGAGAGAGAGAGAAGAGGGATTATATGCAGACAGAGAGAGAGAGAAGAGGGATTATATGCAGACAGAGAGAGAGAGAAGAGGGATTATATGCAGACAGAGAGAGAAGAGGGAAGGTATGCAGACAGAGAGAGAGAGAGAAGAGGAAAGGTATGCAGAGAGAGAGAGAGAGAGAGAGAGAAGAGGGAAGGTATGCAGACAGAGAGAGAGAGAGAAGAGGGAAGGTATGCAGACAGAGAGAGAGAAGAGGGAAGGTATGCAGACAGAGAGAGAGAGAAGAGGGAAGGTATGCAGACAGAGAGAGAGAGAAGAGGGATTATATGCAGACAGAGAGAGAGAGAAGAGGGATTATATGCAGAGAGAGAGAGAAGAGGGATTATATGCAGACAGAGAGAGAGAGAAGAGGGATTATATGCAGACAGAGATATAGAAGGAATATATGCAGACAGAGAGAGACATAGACAGAAGGTCTGCGGACAGAGAGAGACATAGACAGAAGGTATGCGGACAGAGAAAGATATAAAGGTAAGCGGACAGAGAGACATAGAGGGAAGGTATGCAGACAGAGAGAGACATAGACAGGAGGTATGCAGACAGAGAGAGACATAGACAGAAGGTATGCGGACAGAGAGAGAGACATAGACAGGAGGACAGAGAGAGACATAGACAGGAGGTATGCAGACAGAGAGAGACATAGACAGGAGGTATGCAGACAGAGAGAGACATAGACAGGAGGTATGCAGACAGAGAGAGACATAGACAGGAGGTATGCAGACAGAGAGAGAGACATAGACAGGAGGTATGCAGACAGAGAGAGACATAGACAGGAGGTATGCGGACAGAGAGAGAGACAGACAGGAGGTATGCAGACAGAGAGAGACATAGACAGGAGGTATGCAGACAGAGAGAGACATAGACAGGAGGTATGCGGACAGAGAGAGACATAGACAGGAGGTATGCAGACAGAGAGAGACATAGACAGGAGGTATGCAGACAGAGAGAGACATAGACAGAAGGTATGCAGACAGAGAGAGACATAGACAGGAGGTCTCTTGGACAGAGAGAGACATAGACAGGAGGTATGCAGACAGAGAGAGACATAGACAGAAGGTATGCAGACAGAGAGAGACATAGACAGAAGGTCTGCGGACAGAGAGAGACATAGACAGAAGGTATGCGGACAGAGAAAGATATAAAGGTAAGCGGACAGAGAGACATAGAGGGAAGGTATGCAGACAGAGAGAGACATAGACAGAAGGTCTGCGGACAGAGAGAGACATAGACAGAAGGTATGCGGACAGAGAAAGATATAAAGGTAAGCGGACAGAGAGACATAGAGGGAAGGTATGCAGACAGAGAGAGACATAGACAGGAGGTATGCAGACAGAGAGAGACATAAACAGGAGGTCTGCGGACAGAGAGAGACATAGACAGGAGGTATGCAGACAGAGAGAGACATAGACAGGAGGTCTGCGGACAGAGAGAGACATAGACAGGAGGTATGCAGACAGAGAGAGACATAGACAGGAGGTATGCAGACAGAGAGAGACATAGACAGGAGGTATGCAGACAGAGAGAGACATAGACAGGAGGTATGCAGACAGAGAGAGACATAGACAGAAGGTATGCAGACAGAGAGAGACATAGACAGGAGGTCTGCGGACAGAGAGAGACATAGACAGGAGGTATGCAGACAGAGAGAGACATAGACAGGAGGTATGCAGACAGAGAGAGACATAGACAGAAGGTCTGCGGACAGAGAGAGACATAGACAGAAGGTATGCAGACAGAGAGAGACATAGACAGAGACAGGTCTGCGGACAGAGAAAGATAGACAAAGGTATGCGGACAGAGAAAGATATAAAGGGAAGCGGACAGACAGAGAGGGAACATAGCAGACAGAAGAGACATAGACAGAAGGTCTGCGGACAGAGAGAGACATAGACAGAAGGTATGCGGACAGAGAAAGATATAAAGGTAAGCGGACAGAGAGACATAGAGGGAAGGTATGCAGACAGAGAGAGACATAGACAGGAGGTATGCAGACAGAGAGAGACATAGACAGGAGGTCTGCGGACAGAGAGAGACATAGACAGGAGGTATGCAGACAGAGAGAGACATAGACAGAAGGTCTGCGGACAGAGAGAGACATAGACAGAAGGTATGCGGACAGAGAAAGATATAAAGGTAAGCGGACAGAGAGACATAGAGGGAAGGTATGCAGACAGAGAGAGACATAGACGGAAGGTATGCAGACAGAGAGAGACATAGACAGAAGGTATGCGGACAGAGAAAGATATAAAGGTAAGCGGACAGAGAGACATAGAGGGAAGGTATGCAGACAGAGAGAGACATAGACAGGAGGTATGCAGACAGAGAGAGACATAGACAGAAGGTATGCGGACAGAGAAAGATATAAAGGTAAGCGGACAGAGAGACATAGAGGGAAGGTATGCAGACAGAGAGAGACATAGACGGAAGGTATGCAGACAGAGAGAGACATAGACAGGAGGTCTGCGGACAGAGAGAGACATAGACAGGAGGTATGCAGACAGAGAGAGACATAGACAGAAGGTCTGCGGACAGAGAGAGACATAGACAGAAGGTATGCGGACAGAGAAAGATATAAAGGTAAGCGGACATAGAGACATAGAGGGAAGGTATGCAGACAGAGAGAGACATAGACGGAAGGTATGCAGACAGAGAGAGACATAGACAGGAGGTATGCAGACAGAGAGAGACATAGACAGAAGGTATGCGGACAGAGAAAGATATAAAGGTAAGCGGACAGAGAGACATAGAGGGAAGGTATGCAGACAGAGAGAGACATAGACAGAAGGTCTGCGGACAGAGAGAGACATAGACAGAAGGTATGCGGACAGAGAAAGATATAAAGGTAAGCGGACAGAGAGACATAGAGGGAAGGTATGCAGACAGAGAGAGACATAGACGGAAGGTATGCAGACAGAGAGAGACATAGACAGAAGGTATGCGGACAGAGAAAGATATAAAGGTAAGCGGACAGAGAGACACAGAGGGAAGGTATGCAGACAGAGAGAGACATAGACAGGAGGTATGCAGACAGAGAGAGACATAGACAGAAGGTATGCGGACAGAGAAAGATATAAAGGTAAAGCGGACAGAGAGACATAGAGGGAAGGTATGCAGACAGAGAGAGACATAGACAGAAGGTATGCGGACAGAGAGAGACATAGACAGAAGGTATGCGGACAGAGAGAGACATAGACAGGAGGTATGCAGACAGAGAGAGACATAGACAGAAGGTATGCGGACAGAGAAAGATATAAAGGTAAGCGGACAGAGAGACATAGAGGGAAGGTATGCAGACAGAGAGAGACGTAGACGGAAGGTATGCAGACAGAGAAAGATATAAAGGTAAGCGGACAGAGAGACATAGAGGGAAGGTATGCGGACAGAGAGAGATATAGAGGGAAGGTATGTGGACAATGAGAGATATAGACGAAAGGTATGTGGGGAGAGAGAGATATAGAGGGAAGTTATATGCACAGAGAGAGAGAGAGAAGAGGGAAGGTATGCACACTGAGAGAAAGAAATGTTGACAGAGATATAGAAGAGGGAAGAGATGTTGAGAAAGAGAGAGATGGAATGAAGAGAAAGAGAGAGATGGAATGAAGAGAAAGAGAGGAGAGATGGAATGCAGAGAAAGGGTGAGAGAGAAAGAAGAGGGAAGAAATGCAGAGAGAGAAGAGAAGAGGAATGCAAATAAAGAGAGTAGAGGGAAGGAATACAGACAGAGAGAAGAGAGATGGAATGTGGAGAGAGAGAGAGAGAGAAGAGAGATGGAATGTGGAGAGAGAGAGAGAAAAGAGAGATAGATGGAATGCTGTGAGAGAGAAGAGGAAAGCAGTGTTGGGAGAGTGAGAGAGAAGGGATGGAATGCAGAGAGTGAGAGACAAGAGAGATGGAATGTGAAGAGAGAGAGAGGAGGGGAGGAATGCTGACAGAGAGAAAAGGGAGGTTACAAACAGAGGGGAAGGGATACAAACGGTAAGAAGGAGAGGGCAGGAGATATGGACAGTGAGGGGGAGAGGACAGAGGACACAGATACTGAGTGGAGAGAAGGCAGGCTATATGGACTGGGGGGGGTAAAGAGCAGAGTATAAGGGTACAGAGGGAGAGAAAACAGAGGATACAGACAGAGAGGGAGAGGGCGAGAGATACAGACAGAGAGGGAGAGGGCGAGAGATACAGACTGACTGCGAGTGGAAGCATGCAGTGCATCATAATAGGAGATGAGGACAGTGAGATATCTAAGGGAGATTAATGGGGAGAGAATGGGGAGAGGAGAAAAAAATTGAGAATTAGAATGAAACTAAAAAGAAAGTCACTAAAAAAGACGAAGTACTATAAGTGATAATTTTGTCATAAATTAGACACTTAATTGTTTATATCCAACTATAATATGCAATATTAGTGCTTTTAAATGTTTTCAGAGAAAAACAACAAAGAGAATCCAAATTAAGTGATGAGACTGATACAAACAACAACAAAACAATGAACAATTGATTATTATCAAAATTAATAGTCTGTTTCTTTGCTAATTGTTTTCTATTACTTTTATTTTCTCTAGTGAAATAAGTATAAAAATCAAGTAAATCACCGCTAAACAAATTCTTAAATGTCCAGTCAATGAAGCCTCAAGACAATATGAATGATGTACTTAATCATAACACATTTAATAGGAACCTACATCACTATCTTTATCATTCACACTGTGTCTCATTTTACAGGCAGATTTACTGTTCTTTCTGAAAGGGGCAGTCAAATTCTATGATTTTAAGTCCGAGGAAATAAGCTGCATATATTTTGAAATGATTGAGGCTTGCAGGTCTAAAATTATGCAAAGACTTCATGTTATAAATCCCAAAGTAGGACAAGAGTTCAAGCAAATATGCAATTTATTTTGGGGTTCAGTCAAAACATATATCAGAATTACTGAACTTACAAAAAAAAAAAAACAACCACCAGGGAAATTACATCCAAGAAAAAGAGAATCATGCAAACAATGTATCTTAACTTGAACAGACACAAAGAGCTCAAGAATAAGAAAAAATAAATCCAACGCAAAAAAATATCCAAAGACATTAAATCTGTCTCTGAACCATCTGAAGATTGCTCATTGTGTCAAACTATCAATCACAGAAGAATGGTGTCTTTGAATATTTTTGGGTTTTATATATATATATATATATAGGCACGTGGCTGAGTGGTTAGAATGTTTGCTTTCTAACCATGACACCCAGGTTCGAATCTCACCATGGTTGTTTTGTAAGGATGGAGACTTCCTGACATTATCAGGGATGATCCCAGCATGCACTACCTTTGGAAAGTGCCTGAAAACTATATCACAGGTTGACCAAAGCCTTGTGAGTGAAATTGGGTAGACAGAACATTTGGGAGGAGGCATCGATAGCTGTACTAGCACGAAGTCACAAGTCATTGTGACTGAAGGTGTGAGTGTGCTGGCGTTGTTCAAATTGTTGATCACGGTAGATAAGATGCTCTCTCCCAGAAATTCTAACTAAGGTCTGCTCAGCATAGTTGCAGTACAAACCACAGGTGGGCTCTGTGGGTGTTGAACTAACACAAATGTGCCTGAGCAAGCGTCTGAATTAGGGATTAGCTTGCCGCTTAAGTAGACAGGTATCCTTGAATACAAGTGGCCACCTATTATTATTATGTATATATATTTGAAATATCTGAATATTATCTAGCATAATTAAAAATGGATGGTAGGAAAACTAAATAAAGGAGAAAACTAACCAGTTTCGCTTCTGCCTTTCAAAGCTTGAAATAGTGAGATTTTTAAGAAGATAAAATACAATAAATATAATTAGTGAATGATTACTGAAAGGGCAGAGAAGAAAAAAAGGAAAAAAGTGGTGGGGGAAAAAGTATGTGTGTATATATATATATATATATATATATATATATATATATATATAAGTGGACATTGGAGGCAACATCATGCAGAAACTACATTTCATTTTTTAATGCAATCCTGAGGCCATATTTTTATATCTAAATACATTATCTCTGATACTGAATATTTTTATCCATAAATATATCATACTTTAAACTATATTTTTATCATATAAGAAATAATTAGGCAGCAGGTATTCATCTGAACACATTTAGAGATCAAAAATTGTCAAAGTTGTATCTGAACAAACCACACACAGTCTATCCGCAGTCTTTATTCCTATACTCAACACATGATTTGAAAATTGGAAAAATACTATAAAAAATTTAACAGATCTTGTTGATTCTTTTAAATAAAATTTGTTTGTGCATACATACATGTATGTGTATGTATGCATGTATATATCCCTTGTTTATGTTTAAAAACCTATGCCAAAAAGAAGAAAACTTTTTATACATACAAATGAAATACTTAAGAGGACTTGTTAATTTGCAAAATTTAAATGATGCTACACAAACATATACACAATATAATGAAAGAAATGACACATTTAAGATCAAAAATTGAAGGAATGAAAGAGTTTCTGGAAGAAAAACAAAAATAGAAACAAAAATATAAGATTAAAAAGATATATTAATTACTCATACTGTTTTATCAGAAATAGAAGAATACCATTTTAGAGATAAGCAAGTTTCAAAAATAAAAAAAAGAAAATTTAAGTCTAAAAAAATACAACAAACAAATGATAAGATATATTTTCCTTCTTGTTTCAATTCCGTTATCTCTTATTGTTAAATCAATCTTTGATGAGTTTTTGCTTGGGATTTTGCAAGTGGTTTTGAATATTCAATGTCATTTTATGTTTAATCTTTGTGATGACAGCTGATAAAATTCTAGGGAGAAAGTAAAAACTGAAAAAAATTTGCACTCAACAAATTCACTTGCAAATGATTGAAGAATAGTTTAGAATTAATTTTAGCCTGGTACATGGTCACAGGAAGGGAGATTTCATTAAGTATCACACAAGTGAATTAGTCTGTGAGATAAGGTCATTAATTATTACAATATAGAAAAGCATTTTAAAAACTTAAAATTGTACTGACTAAAATAAAAAAAAGATAAACGTAAAAAAAAAAAATTCTGGCAAAATTTTTTTTTTAAACTAAAAATGACAAGAATGGGCTGAGGAAAAAAATTAACATTTAAAAAAAAACAAAAAACAGAAGTATTAGTAAATTTTGTTTTTTTAATTGTAGATTTTGTAATATGTTTAAATTTTGTAATATATTTAAATATATAAGTTCCACTGAGCTAAGGGCTTATGAAGGCCTGATGATCAGGACAACTAATTACACCAACCAGTACTGCTGTAGCTAATTCAAGCTTCACTGGGTACATAACATGTCTTTGATCCATCCATATATATATATATATATATATATATATATATATATATTTATGTGTGTGTGTGGTATAAAATGATAATTGGAAAAAATCTTAGATTTTGCCAACACGTTTTGTCTTCCAACTTTTTCAAGGCAAAAATGAAATTGAAATGTTTTTGTTGCTACATTAAAAAATCCAAATTGAAAAAGATAGATGCTTCTGTCTAATCTTTTTTTTTTTTGGTTAATGTAAATTACCTTTATAGTAAGGGATTTTTTTTTTTTTGTCGGCAAAATCTAAGATTTTTTTTTCCAATTGTCATTTTATACCAATCTGTCTTGTCCACAGAATTGATCTGGGAATTTAACTATATATATATATATATATATATATGTGTGTGTGTGTGTGTGTGTGTGTGTCCATCTATCTCTCCTCAATTCTGTTAGCAATCTTTTCTTTCTCTACTATTACCCTTCCTCTCAAGACTGTGGTGTACCCAACAGCATTTCTGATAATATAAACAAGGCTATCTCTTTACATCAGTTTGCCTATATATTCGTGTTCGGTGACACTCATCATACTATGTGGCTTAAAAACTGTATAACTGATGTCACTGGCATACAGACCTTTAACTTTTCAATCAGTCAATCCCTCACACAAGTGGTTGACTTTCTTATGCATTTCCACAGTAACGCTAAGGCTTCCTTTCTTGATCTCTGTTTTACCTCCATCCCCGACTCATGTTGTGTCACACAGCTCTGCCGTCTTGATAACTATGATCATGCCATATTGTCTCTTAACATCTCCTTCTACTCCTCCCCCAGCAAAGAAACTCTTACTAACGGAATATCTTTGTTATCAACGTGCAGACTGGGACTCATTCCATGATTTCCTTCATGATGTCCCCAAGAATGTGGCTTTTAATCTTAATTTTTAATCTTCCCATTCAAAACTGTGCATTTGAGGTCTCCTCCTGGGTTAAAGCTGGAATTGAGATATGCATCCCTGCACTCATCTCCTGGTTCATAGTCACTTGCTCAGCTGCTATTGCCCATAGGAATCACTTCTTCGATCTGTACTGAAGTGACATGTCTGATTGCAACAGACATTTCTTTGTCTCTGCCAATAATGAGTGTTCTCAATGAAGCAAAGCTACTATTTGCTGGAAAAATAAAACAACGTATTGCATCTTGCCAATAGGGTTCTAGAGATTATTGGTGGCTCTGCAAGAGCATGCTGAACAACAGTAAATCCTCAATACCTCCTCCATTTAATCAATTTGAGGTGCTGACTCCCTCAGCTATTTAGGCTGAATGCCTTGCTTGGAAATTCTCATTGAATTCAATGCTTGAATAATCTGGAGTACCCACACCTGATTTTCTCCCTAGAACTGAGACTCTGATGAGTGACATAAGCATAAACAAATCAATGACTTCGGAGATCGTCTCCAAATTAAACTCTCATAAAGCTAGTGGTTGGGAAGGGATGACAGCCATTGTCCTGAAGAAATGCTCTTGAACTGGCACTTGTCCTCTCCAAACTATATAACTATTACCTCAATGACTCTTGCTTTCCAGCCTGTTGGAAGTCCTCATCTGTTGTCCCTGTCTTTAAGAATTCTGGTGACCCTTCTCACCCATCTAACTACTGTCCCATAAGTCCCCTACCACTCTTCTGTAAGGTCTTTTGGGCTTTAACAATGCTGAAGTGTTTAAACACCTTACATCCCATGATCTGCTCTCAGACAAGCAATATGGTTTCTGCTTTCCCCGGACCACTGCTGACATGCTCACAACCATAACTAAATTTATTTAACAAGCACTTGACAATAACGGAAAAGCTTAAGCCATAACTTTAGATATCTCTAAAGTGTTTCATAGGATCTGGCATGCTGGCCTTGTAA